GTAGGGAATGTTTGTTATACTGGATGGATCCTGTGTTTTGTCAACTCTGAGACAATCGCACATGTTTAAGGCCACAGTAACAACAAGATCATGCTTTATCAGCGTTCCTCTGTTTAAAGTCTATGTTTAAAGTAAATTGCTCGATTTATCTACAAGTGAGAAATGATTTAATAAAAGATAGTGCCATATTAAACACTGATAAGATGTTTTTCAAAATATGGAAATCATTACAAACTATGTATAGAAATGGTAATCATTCAGGAAATCAGGCCTGTTTATTGTGAAAGCCATATTGAGTCCAAAACTGCTTATGAAGTAGTGATATTTTCCAGTCCTTATCATCAGCAGCAGACATTACATTTCTTTTAAAGCTTTATGGCGCCACCAAGTGGCTGAAATCTTTTAAAAAAAAATTTTTAAAGCTGATTGGTACTGGTGATGTTTGTGTGACTTGAAAGTATAATAGGAAAGTTTGATTTGAGTGGATGTTTATGGATTGTGTTTTTTCCGCCAAACACATCTAGTAGACCATTGCTTAAAATATGGGAAAACGTTGACTCTACTTAAATGAATTACACTACACACATATTGGTTTGGCATTGGATTGATTATTTATATTAAATGAGTAAGTTATTAGGCCTTGGTGATTGGTTGTGAGTGAACTGTTTTATCATAAAGGGACAATGTATGTTTCTGAATGGATGGATGAAATGTTTACTTTTGGTATGTTCTCCTTTGGAGGCTTTATACATTACTGCCGTGTATTTATGAGCTCAAGTGTTTTATTGAGAGATGTTCTGATGTTCGCTGTTTTAGTGAATATTAAAGGGGTCAGAAAATGTAAGGCAGATTTTATGGAAATGGTTTTCAGTGTTTTTGCCTTAAGGACTGCAACCGTAGGATTATTGCTGTTAGCATGGCCAATGATACTCAACAACACCTCTTGTATAAAAACTGCAATACAATGCATCTACTCATTGCTTCGATGTTCATTGCCATTCAAACGTCTGTTGTGACACTTTAGGACACTGTTAAATTTCTCACATAGGTATTTATAAGGACAGTAGAGCTTTCTGCTGTCTTTCAAATGATATTGCTGTGCCTAATTCTCAATTTAGTCAAACACACATACACACTACACATTCAGTTATCGTTAAAGTATCTAATTACCTGTCATACATTTGTACAGTTAACCCACTTTGAGCTCCAGAATTTATTCTGTTCTGCTTTCCAAAAAAAAAAAACTTTTTACAGAAAGGGGTTTCTTTTCTATGATGACATTCGTTATGCGTTTCTAATTACATTTATACATTTAAAAAATATATATTTATTGCATGGATGTTTTTTTTTAATCGTCTTCCATTATTGACATCAGAACTACAAGCATGTAGATTCACATGTTTTATTTACTTGAGCAAACCCATCTGATTTGCATTATGCAAATATGATGTTCAGAATGTGATCTACAAAATGCATGTTGAATCTATGTCATGCTCTGGTTTCAGTAAATGAAAAGGCTGTTGGATGATTTGAAATCTGAATGTGTATTGATTCACTTTTAATTTCTGTAGTTTGTTTGGCTGATTGTTTTTCTTTAATGTTGACAATGAAATGTAAGGTCTTGACATTGTGGAATTTGTCTTGTGTTGAATAGCAATATTGCAAGACCAACATTCCACTGTTCCTTGAAAACCAATTGTTGTTAATTTAATTCTTGTAATAAATATTTTTTTGGGATGAAATGCTTTTGTATTTCTTCTTTAATGTGGAATGAAGAAACACATATGATGGCTACAATGACCTATTATTTTAATAATATATATCAACATTTAGTAGAAGAGAAATAATGAATATATCGATATCAGCGGGTTTTTTACTCCCTAATATCGGTATCGGGCTCTCAAAATCCCATATCGGTCGGGCTATGGGATTTTGAGAGCCCGATACCAATATTAGGGAGTAAAAAAAAAAGGCTGATATCGATATATTGGCCGATATTCTATTCTAGTACAGTACCAGTCAAAAGTTTTTACACCTTCCATTCCTGTGTCCAAACTTTTGACTTGTACGTTACTATATATAGAATACAGTATATACATGAACAGAATATATATACATAAACACATTTTTTGCAATGATCACTCAAATGTGGTGATCAAACACTTATAATGACGCCGTGACAAAGATATGTAATGGAGCAGGGTGTCTGCGGGGTCTTAAAAAGTATTAAAAGTTGATTAATCAATTTAGATCTTTGCAATGATCACTTAAATGTGGTGATCAAACACTTATAATGACGCCGTGACAAAGATATGTAATGGAGCAGGGTGTCTGCGGGGTCTTAAAAAGTATTAAAAGTTGATTAATCAATTTAGATCAAATTAAGGCCCTTAAGTATTCAAAAGTCTTAAATGCCATTTTCCAAGGTATTACATTTTGTATCATCTTTTCATTATGTATATTTGTCCGAATAGTGCACTGTAAAACCAAACAGTGAAATGAGTTAACTTCACTCAAATAATAATGAAAGTTAATTGGACTTAATTGAAATAAGTTCTGTAAATTTAAAATGTTGTTGTAGTAAGGTGAACTTAAAATGATTGTGTTTTCTAGTTCCCAGCATGCTTTGCATCAGACAACAAGGAAAATAAATGTAGAAATGAAGTGTTATTTTGTGTGTTTTTACACAAGACTAACATAGAGAGACATAAGTTAGTACTTAAATGTTGTGTTGTGTTAGGGTTTACATAGAGTTGTGTTATGTTGGTTTTGTAGTGTTACCGTTGTGGTGAAGAGTAGAGCCTGTGGTTAGGTTGAGGATGGACAGCAAAACTTAAAGACTATTTATACTGCATGTTGTTTGACTATGTACTATTTAAGTATTGTGAGTCTTTTTGATAACTACATTAGTACGTGCCAGTGTGCTGTTGCTAACTAGCACTTAACTATAAAGATCTGAATGAATGTGCTGTTAATGGAAGCAAGTTGTATATAATTATCATTGTGATGAGTGGGGTGGGATCATGGAAGCCAGGCTTGGCTTGGCTCCCATGGTTCTCAGCCCCGCCCCACTTGTCATAAACATTTTAAGCTCTACTTACTTAAAAAAAAAAAATTGAGTTTGTTTACTCAAATATTTTGAGGCAATAAGTTTCCTCAAATGTTTTGAGTTTTCTTAACTTATCATGTTTTACAGTGTGGGGTTCTTTGTAGTTTATTTATGAAATCCTGCAAGATTTGACTTCATCTGTTATGGCGCTCACTGACTGACTCCGCCGCTGCGTGATAGCGTGGGGCTTGTTGATACCGCTCTCGCTGAACTTCTTACCATTACCGCATGCTCCCATCCGCTCACGCGGTTTGTGTCCGCTCCCGCAAACGTTCTAATATTGTATATTATTTTCGCGCATCAGGGCCCCGCTATCAATGTATGAATGAGTGCTCGCAGTTCCCTTTCACTTTCAATTTCGCGATCGCGCGCACAATGTGTAAAGGGAGCACATATTACAATAAAAGATATTTGTCAGTGAGCTCGGGATCTGTTGAGGAGCAAATACTCAAATCTTTGTCAGTTATCTCTCCTTACTTTTGACCCGTGATTAGTCAAATCCGACTTCTGCAGCTTGTGTTGGATGCAGGGTTGTTGTTGTTTTTTTCCACGAAATTGGGCTGCTTTTAAACTGTTGCCATGGGTTAATTTTCCCCAGTGGGTTAAAGTTTTGAAATATTGCATAAAGGGTTAAAGGTTTGAAATATTGCATAAATTACATTTGGTTGAAATGCTTGTACTGAAACATTTTGCATTCTACCTGTAATAAAACTGTGCCAAATGTTTTGGGCCACACTAGTAGGAAGCATTTGAGCTGTGTTTATGATAAATGTGCATAACAGTGACTGTAAAATATGTATTTTAGGGATGGAAATGACATTTTTATATTTGGGACATAATTGCGCTACTTTGGGCAGTTTTTTTACTGGCTTGGGATTCACAATTAAAATGATGTAATAGTTGTGATCATTATTTTACCTTCCATTATCATTCAGACTTGATCAGGTGCAGTACTGACACTCTGTCAAGTCTGCATCAAATCAAGCACTCCGTAATCACAGGTAAATTGTCTGATCAGTCAGATGTTTGTCATGAGAAGTGTTCCACAAAAGAGCTAGGGTTTGCAGACAGTTATAAGAGTTGATGTTACAAATAC